AAAAAAAAGTCAGGATTTGGAATAAGAATTAAATAAAATGTCAACACTGGAAAATATGTTGCAATTTTTTCTTCACTGGTTTCTCTGTAAAGAAACTGGTCACAGTGGGCAAACGGTCTGAATTAATGTGCGTTCTGACTGGAGTGTGGGCTCCGCACCTCCGCTCCGAAGTCAGTGAAGATGGGTGAGGACTGGGAGGGTCTGCTGGGATTGTGGTGGTGGTGAATAGGAGTCCACTGGTCCTGCTTCCGTCTGTACAGATCCTCGTAGCCGAGAGGAACGCGGCCGTAGTCCTGAAAGACAGAACACGAGTTGCAGAAAGGAGAAAACAAACTCTATAAAACTATAAACAATAAAACAAGAAGGGACTGTTCCAGAGAAGCTTCAGCTCACTTTTCCTCCCAAAATAATTATCGGTGAGAATGCAGAGTGAACGCAGAGTGCAGAATGACAAGACGAAGCTGAAACTAGGTTGTTAAACTTAACTATTATGTATTTTCCAGGCACATAGTTCAGTTCTACCACAATCAAGTAACTTTCCCTTCAGTTGCTGTGAAAATGCTGTACATATCAAAATAAAATAGAGTTTGCATCATTGTCCATCTAAACACCTTGCAATCGGCCCCTGTCTCTGTAAGAACCTCCTACCATTTCGGACACTTCCACTTCAGCACGTCTTCACAACAACACTTCGGGGGACAGGTGCTCTGTGGGGCGGGAGCTCGGCTGCAGACTGAGCTCCAGGGAGGAGCTTTGTGTAAATAGGCGGTGCTTTGTACCAGCAAGTGTTTACGCAGTTCCAGATGGGCTAAAAGTAGCAAAAGAGTAGCTAAAAGCAGCCAATGTTTAGATACACAACATTAGCTAACATGAAAAATAGCTGTAAGTCAAWCAGTTTTACAAATAAAAGCTAAAATCTAGCATGGYAGTAGCTGACGTACAACACTTTTTTCCAGGTTTAAATAAAATGACTACAGAGCTATAATTGTTCAGTATAGGATGGTCTTAGTATGTAATGTAYGTCTCTGACGAATTCTTTGCCTTTAAATGTGTGAGTTTTATGTTAAAGAGGTATTTTTTAGGTATAAGTGTATTATTTTCCCAAAATATACCAAAAATAAAAAGTGAGGCCTCTTTGCTCAGTGTTTTTGATAAAGTCTCTATCTGAGTCTGATTGCAGTAGTTAAAGCTGACAGGCTATGACTCATTTTGGATATTTTCAGTAAGAGCACCAAGGTTTTTATTTTGTCCCATTTTGTTCAATTGCTTTTTATAAATTGTACAATTAGCCACATGTGGAAGGTGCCATTCAGAGCCCTGTTGGTAAACGCCGCTGTGGCGCTGCGGCGCTTTTACTGGTAAAAGCTGCATGTGGGAGGGAGAGGAGTGAGTGGGTGAGGTGTATAAAAGTGGGAGGGCCACGAGCTTCTCGCTGCTGAGATGTGACTGGAGATGAGGTGGTATGTGGGAGTAAAATCAGAAAATCGAACAGAAAAAAGGAAAACAGCTAAAAAGAGTGTAGGGACAAAAGTGTTCTATCTGTGAAACAGTAAGCAGTTGATAAAGTATGAAACCTACTCAAGAAGACTGCCACAACTAACCAAATAAGCAAACACAACAGTAGTCATATCAGTTTTACACACATTAGGCTAAAGATGTACTGTGGTAATAGCTGAGAGTCATCCCCAATCTATACACTGAACATTAGTGATTGTGTGAGATCTGCTTTTAAAACTTCACCCTTAAAGGTGGTGGGGGGATTATATATATA